ATTATTATTATTATTTGGATATTTTAGTGTCATTAATCATATCATATTGTGTTATATTTTTAAGAAACATCTTAGATAGTTGTATTTTAATAGGACTAAAAAAATATTTGAAGTATAAGTAAATTATACGTTTGTACGAATACTTTACCGAAAAAATCCAAAAAAATCCGAGGTTGAAAAACCCGACTTTTATTGGTTTGGTTTATAAATTCAAAAATCCGACACAAATGGTTTGGTTTGATATTTGAAAAACCCGAACCAACCCGACCATGTACACCCCTAATTTATTAAAAAGTTGACTTAAGAAAACATTAAATAAGGGCAGAAGGGTAAAGTTACTTAATTTCCTAATGCAAGTGCAATCTAAAAAAATGACATATAAAAAGATACGGAGGGAGTATATACCTTTTCTTTTGGTCCGTAAGTTTTCTTTCTTCACTTTTTTGTTTTTTGGAATTCAAATTGTGTAAATATCTCAAAATGTATATTTTATCATCTAAAAATAAGAAATTGTAACTTATCGTATAAATTTGAATAACTATATGTTAATTTGGAAACATTCATGAATTAATTTAATCAAATCTAACTTTAAAGATTGATCAAATTTAACTTTTTAAAAAGCAAAAACTATATCATAAATTAAAATATTACATACAATTTAATTTAATTTAATTTTTACTTTTTTAAAGTTCATACAAAAATTTAAATAAAATAATCAAATAATATAAAATGAAGAGAGTACTGGATTGTTTTATTTGTTGCACATATTTTTCTCTACGTGGATAAAATATAACCACACTACTTTAGTTTAATATTTTAGGTATCCTCGGGTCCCGCAGGTGTAATTAGTAATTTTGCCGAATTAATGGGTCATGCAAGCTAGTAAGATGTGTGAAATAGAGGACTCATACACATTTGTTATTGTTGCTATAATCAAGAGATTAAACTCTCGAAAAAGACTAAACAACTACCGATATGCCATTAATAGCGAGATAAGAAAAAATATTTGAGAAATAAACTTAATTCTAAAAGAGAAATGAATTCACTATCAAGATAACTGGCAAGAGAAGTAGAGAGATAGATTATAGATATCTTCTGGATCTGCCCAAGACTTTAGCAATGGGTTCAATTTATTTGGGTTAAGATAGATAAAAGGTCGGACATGACTTTCAATTTGGGAATGACTCGTTTTTAAGAAAAACAGGTAATTTGGGCTGATTTGAGGCTTTTCCTCAAATTAGAGATATGAGTGACAAGTTTGTAAATGGAGGGATTTAAATGGTCACATAGTATAACGGAGGATAAAACTAGCAAAGTTGTGGAATATCTTTGACCCTTCTCCTATTAAAATTAGCAAAAATTATCTAAATACACAATTTATTTTATCATGTTCTCTAAAATTTCCTATCATTTGTAAAAGTTACAAAAATCTTTACTCTCTCCTATTCTCGCATACATCGCTTTACGCGATTTATCGGTCAGATACATATATCACTTTACATGATGTATCGGTCAGATACATCACTTGTGCTATGTATCAAGACGTTGAGTGATGTATTCGAAACTGAAACGCGATGTATCGGAATATTGAGGATGTATAAGCTGGGACACGATGTATCATGGCGTTTTGGGATGTATTTGGATTCCACCAAATTTAATTTTTTGTAAATTCAAAATAAGAGTAGGAATAAGATGTAATTAGTTGTTAACATATTGAGATTCGTGTAAAATTCCTTTAAAATTATGCTATATTTGATTGAAGTTTATGAATATATCTCAAACTCCAGTAGGATAAATTGAAAGCAATTCATCAAAGGCAAAGCAGGAAAAAAAGGATTACACATTCTACAGAAGAGTCAAAGCTGAAAATAGTGATGTTCCAATGGCTTGCTTTTGGGCACTTGATCCCATATATACCTTTAAAATACACTATTAAATAATACAGGGGTAAAAGGTCCTCTATAAAGTTTGATATTGTAACAACAATTTCGGCCAAAATTGAAGTATTTTTCAGACCATTTTCCCAATTTAGATTTATTATTTTGATGGTCAAATATATTTAAGTTTCGCTAATATTCTTGTAAAATTCATTATAGATGACCCAATTTTTTCTTCAAATACAAAAACTAAATTATAATATATCCGAAAAAAATAGTTTTAAATTTTTTTCTTTACACTAAGGAATGAAAGAAAAAAAATAAAATAAGAATAAGAAACTCAAATAATGATAATCAAGAAGTCAAAAAATAATTTATGTCCGAAAAAAATTATAACATACCTTGAAATTTGCTAGAAAAATCATATATCCCCCTAAATGATTTTTAAAAAAAATCAAAAGTAAAAAATATAAATTTAAAACTATTTTTTTTCACTTCTGTTAAATGAAGGGTATATGTGAGCCGTTTGTATAACGGTAAGGGTATATATGAGTCATTTTCATAACGAGGGGCATATCAGCTCCAAATGGAAAAGTTGAGGGGTATATCGGACCCTTTTCCCTAGGTAGATATTATTTAGTAGTAAAAGACTATTTTACCCTTGTCCTCCTCCTCCTCATGTTTCTATATAGTAGAAATAATATACTCCCTCCGTTTTACAAAGAATGACCTCATTTCTTTTTTAGTCAATTTAAAAAAAAATGATCTTTTTCTTTTTTTGGTAATATTTTAATTTTAGCTTTCCATGTGGCATGTTTAAGGCCACAAGATTAAAGGGAAATTTTGTACATTTGACATAACTTTAATTTAGGACCACAAATTCAAAAGTCTTCTTTATTTTTCTTAAACTTCGTGCCAAGTCAAATTAGATCATTCTTTGTGAAACGGAGGGAGTAATAGATAGTAAGATTGAAATGATATATAAAAAAAAGGGCTCACATGCATTACACATGTTTAGAGGCTATTAGTGAGAAAACAAGGTAAGGCCAAGTACATAGTACAATTTGTATTGCTCATTGTACAACTTTTCATAGCCATGGCCGTCCTTCCATGGCTGTTCTATATAATATAATAAAAGGCCAAACACATATATAACCCTTCTAACTTGCCCTCATTTTTCATTTTGACACTCCAACTTAGCCTTGTTCCATTTTAATACTTAAACTCCATTTTTTATATACCATTTTAACACGAAATACTATTTTTATGATTTCTTTATTTTTATATATATTCTTCAATTGCAACTTCTTATTTTAAATCGACATGTGTCAGTTAATTTTAGTTTAAAAAAATAAAAATTAACAAAAAGTAATTCTTTTTAAAAAATAATAATTTCTTTTTAAGAGTTTTATGTATTTTTATGTGAAAAATAACCGAGTATTTTTGTGTGAAAAATAACTGACGAAATTGTGTTTGTTTTCTTTCTTTAAAATCACCGACAACCTAACAAAGTCAGTCGAGTTTTAACATTGTTTAGTAGTGTTATTAGCAATGAACAAGAGTCTTTTTTACTCGTATTGAAGATGAGTTTTCTTATTCGTATTGATTTATATTAAAAATTAAAAGTGAGTATTTGCGTTAAATTTAGATAGCCTAGATGATAAGAAAAAATAAATAAGTAGTGTTATTTAATTTAATTGAATGTTTAAGAAAGAAAATCAAAGAACTTTCGTCAATTTACTTTCATGCAAAAATACAGAGAAATCTCAAAAAATAATATTATTGTTTGAAATTTTTTATGTTCGTTCGCGAATGTTCAATTTTTTTATGAAAATTAACAAATACACGTCTATTTTTTTAAAATAAAAAATTGCAATTGAAGAACATAAATAAATAAAAAAATCATGAAAATTAGTATTATTGTTTAAATGGTACAGAAAAAATGGAGGTTAAGGGTTAAAATGGAACAAGGCTAAGTTGGAGTGCCAAAATGAAAAATGAGGACAAGTTTGAGGGGTTGTGTAAGGAACCTTTCTGAACCAGTGGGTCCCACTCAGGGATAACATATTGATGGATCTTTCGAGATGAAATATGAAATTAGATTGTTATAAAATCGGAATTTTACATCAAAATTAGATTGGAAAATATCTATCTAATAATTTGAGATAGGAGAAAAAAAAGATGACAGAGTTCATACAAGAGTCAAAAATGGAAATAGTGATGTTCCCATGGCTTGCATTTGAGCACTTTAAAGGGTCGTAGATGGCTTAAGCCTAAATACCCCCAATTATCCGCGGCCCCATGCCCCCAATTATTTAAAAGTGAACTTAAAAAAAAAAAATCAATACCAGAATTCAATTACTCTCAAGGAGCATATCATATCCTCTTTGGGATCAATTTAACATCTCAAAGGAGAAAAAAAAAGATGATAGAGTCCATAGAAGAGTCAAAGATGAATATAATGATGTTCCCATGGCTTGGTTTTGGACACTTGGTCCCATATATGACTCTGTCAAATGAACTTGCAAAAAGAGGTCACAAAATCTCATTCTTGTTGCCCAAAAATGCTGAAATTAGACTTCAAAAACTCAATCTTTATCCAAATCTCATCAAATTTCATAAACTGACAATACCTCATGTTGATGGCCTTCCATATGGAGCAAAGACTACAGCTGATGTTCCTGAATCCTTGGAGAGTCTATTAGCAACAACTTTTGATGAATTGTATGGTGAAATCAAATCTTTTCTTCAAAATCTAAAACCCCATTTTGTTTCTTTGATTTTGCTTATTGGATTCCTGATTTAGCACAAGAAATTGGAGGTATCAAGACTCTGTTTTACACTATTTTTAGCCTGGCTGAATTGTCTGTATCACCGGATAAGGCTACTTTTATGGCATCAACTGCAGCTGATCTAGTAAAGCCACCACCAGATTACCCTTCTACTACTGTGGTGTTGCGCGAAAGTGAAGCTAAGTTGTTATCATTTCTGTTTCATGAATATGGAAAGGGGGTGACATTTTACGAACGGGTGAAGAAGGGGATGACAGGATGCGATGCAATAGGTATGAGAACATGTAGAGAAATTGAAGGAACCTTTTGTGACTACATAGCAACACATTCTGAAAAGCCCGTCCTTTACACAGGACCTGTCTTTCCAAGCCGAAAAATGAGCCTTTAGAAGAACACGGATTATCAAATTGGCTCGAGAAATTCGAGCCAGGATCAGTAGTGTTCTGTGCATTTGGGAGCCAAATGATTCTTGAAAAGAAACAGTTTCAAGAACTCGTTTTATGGTTTGAACTGACTGAATTACCATTTCTATTAGTTGTTAAGCCACTCAAGGGACAAATTCAATAGAAGAAGCGTTGCCGGAGGGATTCAAAGAAAGGGTTCAAGAAAAGGGATTGATTCTTGATTGTTGGGTGCCACAATTGGAGATTTTAAGTCACAAATCAGTTGGTTGTTTTGTGACTCACTGTGGTTATGGGTCGATGTGTGAGTCTATTGTTGGGTTTATGATTAACCTGAATACATGAGATAACATCTTTGGCGCTGTGTGATTGTCAATTGGTACTTTTGCCAAGACCTTTTGAACACACTTTAATTGCTAGGCTTATGGAACAACAACTTAAGGTTGGCGACTTGGCGTAGAAGTTGAGAAAGATGAAAACGATTTGTTTACGAAAGAGAATTTTTGCAAGTCTGTGAAATGTGTGATGGATAAAGATAGCCAAATTGGTTGTCATGCGAAAGAAAATCATAGGAAATGGAAGGACCTTATTTCAAGTACTGGCTTCATGACTAACTATATTGACAACTTTGTTGACAACTTGCATGCACTTCTTGTTGAAAACACCTAGATTAGCGGGAAGGTTAATAGGTATGAATAATTCATGTACAATCAATGGTTATCTTGTTTTGAAATTCTGAATTCATAAATTTAAAATCTTATATTTGAATAAATATATTATACTAATATTTTCATAAATATAATGATCATCTAATATTGATCTTTTTAATTAAAAGTTCAGTTTAGTCTTTTGATTACATCGGAATTTTAAGTTTTTTTTGTATCTTGGATATTTTAATGTAGTTATTTAAGAGTTATACAGCTTCCTTCAAATTTAGTGTTATTTTTTACTACCTCAAGAAAAATACTATCCAGAGTTAGTGATACATTTGTTATATCTTATAACATGTATTGTGTTAGTAATGCTCCAACCTAGTATGATTAAGTTATTTTCTGAACCACTTAAGTTACTATGAACTTAGAAATATTTTAGACCCCAAGGTATTGATAGCAAAATATTAGGCGAATTGAAATGGTCAATTATATAAATTATTCAAAGTTTAATAGAATTATTGTATTTTTTTTTCATATTTACTTTTCATTTAATGAGATTTTTAACTATTTTACATTTTCTATCCTAACATGATGAGATATAGGCCCTCTAAAATATGTGTTGGTGAGAAATCCAATGTTTCAGTTCCTTGGAAATGGACGATAGATAAAGATTTTTAAAAATGTTATAAAAACTTTGACTATATAGTATAATATGTTAGATGATGTGCTAAATAATTTAAACTAATAAATTTTATTAGATATATTTATGTTATTTGAATTTTAAGAGCACTATATATTGATAATGCATCTTCACATAAAATTCATGAATTTACTCATTTTATAGGATACCTACCACTTAGGTTATCTAATAATAAATGTATCGTGAGCCAAACTCCCCACTTGACTATACTTTTCATCGATCCGATAATCGTTTGTGATGAATTCTCATAAAGCATGTAGATAAACTTCACTCTATACATTTTACAAATAGCAGAAGAAAAAATTGTCATAACTAAAGCAAATATTATTAATAATTTTTTTAAAATAATAACATAATATCTTATGTATTCAATATTCAATAGCATGATAATGTTTTCAAAGATACGGTGAATTAGGGGTGTACATGGCCGGGTTGGTTCGGGTTTTTCAAATATCAAACCAAACCATTTAGGTCGGATTTTTAAATTTATAAACCAAACCAAACCAATAAAACTCGGGTTTTTCAACCTCGGGTTTTTTCGGGTTTTTCGGTTTTTCGGGTTTTTCCGGTAAAGTATTCATACACAACATATAATTTACTTGTACTTCAAATATTTCTTTAGTCCTACCAAAATACAACTATCTAAGATGTTTCTTAAAAATATAACACAATATAATATGATTAATGACACTAAAATATCCAACAAAAATAATAATAATGAAATCGCGTAAAACAAATATTGCAAATTAACAAGTCATAATGAAAATGATCATAATTTAAAAGTACTAAATCATGCTAAAATTAAGTTTAATAAGTATTAGTTACATGACTAAATATTAAAGAAAATTAAAATTAGATTATGTATTTTAATTGTCTAAACCAATGTAAAACTAAAGAACAAATATTCAATATTATTGTCATTCTTAGTGTTGAATTGATTTTCTTTTTGCATTAGTATTAATTTGATTTAGATTTAAGCTTTATTATAATTACCAACATCTGTGAACTATAATCTTTATTGAACCATTTAGAATTCTAACTCAAACTTGAAATAATAATATATGAAAAGATAAAAACTATGAAAAAGTATAAGAAAGATTTAAAAATTATTTCAAAGTAAATATTTTTATGTATAAAATAAAATTTTAAAATTATATATATAATGTCGGGTTGATTTGGTCTCGGGTTGGTTTTTTTTAGTTAAAACCAAACCAACCCAAATATAGTCGGATTTTTTTTATATAAATTCGGGTTGGTTTGGTCTCGGGTTGGTTTTTTTTAGTTAAAACCAAACCAACCCAAATATAGTCGGGTTTTATTTTTCAAAACCAAACCAAGTCAAACCAAACCACTAGTCGGGTTTTTTTTCCGGGTTGACTCAGTTTGCGGTTTGGTTCGGTTCTCGGTTCGGTTTTGTACACCCCTACGGTGAATGATAAATTGACCTCAGTTTATTAGTCTTTTTTAAAAAGTGAGAAAATATATAAGATAATATAAAGGATATTTATAAAGGATCGTGACTATTCCATCTTTTGAACATAACAAAACATTCTTCAGGCTTGTAGGAACTAATTGTGTGTCCTGCTTCCTATTAAAAAAAACAAATAAAGTAAAAATATAATAATCAAAAGCTCTTAAAAAAATTCAATTTAGCTAAATTGAGATAAATTAACTTATATAGTGTAAAATTAGTGGCACAATTAATTTTAAATACCTTCACGGTTGCACAAGTCATTTAGTTGGAGTAAGATCTTGTATAACTACAATGATACGATATTAGAAAAATGATTAAGTATTATCAACTAACTTAATGATTAGTTTTAATTAAAAATTCATAATTGTAATTAAGGATGTTAAATTTGGAGATTAATCACTCAGCAACTTGATTATTTACGTTCCATGGATGCCAATCATCATCAATAGAGTAGTTTAGAGACTTTATCCATGTTTGTGTGTCTTGAAAAGGTACTATATAATCATGATCTCCACTGTTAAATTAAACATGAAAAAAAAAACTTCCATTATATATATATATATATATTCATGAAATAAGTTGTTTCTGTTGGAAAGCTATATTTGATGATAAGGAACGAATGGACCTCCTTTAAAGTTTTATGACACATATTTGTGAACAATTAAATCCCATATCTCCAAAGACAAATATGTGCACAAAATTGAAAGAGAGGTAGCATTTCGTCAAAGGCAAAAGAGTAAAAAAGATGACAGAGTCCATAGAAGAGTCAAAACTGGAAATAGTGATGTTCCCATGGCTTGCTTTTGGTCACTTAATCCCATACATGAATCTGTCAAATGAACTTGCAAAAAGAGGTCACAAAATCTCATTCTTGTTGCCCAAAAATGCTGAAGTTAGACTTCAAAAACTCAATCTTTACCCAAATCTCATCACATTACATAAACTGACAATGCCTCACGTTCATGGCCTTCCATATGGAGCAGAGACTACAGCTGATGTTCCTGGATCCTTGGAGAGTCTATTAGCAACAGCTTTTGATGAATTGTATGATGAAATCAAATCTTTTCTTCAAAATCTAAAACCCCATTTCGTTTTCTTTGATTTTGCTTATTGGATTCCTGATTTAGCACTAGAAATTGGGGGTATCAAGACTCTATGTTACAAAGTTGTTTGCCCTGCTATATCATCTATAGCATTGATTCGATCACCGGTTAAGACTACATTTATGGCATCAACTGCAGCTGAGCTAGTAAAGCCACCACCAGATTACCCTTCTACTACTGTGGTGTTGCGTGAAAGTGAAGCTAAGTTGTTATCATTTCTATTTCATGAATATGGCAAGGGGGTGACATTTTACGAACGATCCAAGAAGGGAATGACAGGATGCAACGCAATAGGTGTGAAAACATGTAGAGAGATTGAAGGAACCTTTTGTGACTACATAGCAACACAATTTGAAAAGCCAGTCCTGTACACAGGGCCTGTTCTTGCTGAACCGACAAAGGGGCCTTTAGAAGAACATGGATTATCGGATTGGCTCGAGAAATTCGAGGCAGGATCAGTAGTGTTCTGTGCATTTAGGAGCCAAATGATTCTTGAAAAGAAACAGTTTCAACAACTTGTTTTAGGCTTTGAACTGACTGAGTTACCATTTCTTTTAGTTGTTAAGCCACCTGAAGGGACAAATTCAGTAGAAGAAGCCTTGCCGGAGGGATTCAAAGAAAGGGTTCAAGAAAAAGGATTGATTCTTGATTGTTGGGTGCCACAATTGGAGATTTTAAGTCACAAATCAGTTGGTTGTTTTGTGACTCACTGTGGTTATGGGTCGATGTGGGAGTCTTTGGCACTGTGTGATTGTCAATTGGTACTTTTGCCAAGGCCTATTGATCACAT